ATTATTATTATTATTATATTATTATTATTATTATTATTATTATTATTATTATTATTATTATTATTATTATTATTATTATTATTATTATTATTATTATTATTATTATTATTATTATTATTATTATTATTATTATTATTATTATTATTATTATTATTATTATTATTATTATTATTATTATTGTATTATTGTTATTATTATTATTGTTATAGGAAACGATTTCATTAAAAATAAGCTCTTTCTTTTCTGACGGTTAAATCAGTCGACAATTACAAGACTTAAATTATTTCCAATTAAATGTAAACATTAGCCTTGGGTTATTTTATGTCGTGTATGAAGAATAATAATTAAAATTTAATTTCATTTAAATACGAATGTTAGTTTGAAATTAACACAAGCATTAGTCGAAAATCAATTTAGATTGATGAAAAAAATAAAATTTTTTAGTAAAATAAGAAGTGAAAAGAAATTTCCAGCAAGTAGTTCGTCGAAATCGAAAGTATCATTAGCATCAACTGGTAGCAGTGCTGCTATACCACGATCGCCATCATCACATAAAAGTGACGTGCAGGTGATAAAGTTAATTTGTGGACGTAAACTTTTACGTCCTGTTGTAAGACAGCTGCTTTTCAAAAAATAAAATATTTTAGGTGATACACGTATGATTCCATATATTACTGTTAAATAATATCGTAAATTTTATCTTTTAAAAGAATAACAAATGAAAATAATCAAATCATACAATTCATTTCAAATTTCTAAAAATAAAGAATGTAAATGTTAGTTAATTTTATTCAGCAGCTTATGTTTATTAACATAAAAAATAAAAAAGCTAGATGAAAAGGTAATATTATAATACAAACGTATTAATTAAATTAATATATTAAAAATTTAATTCTGAATAAGTTGATGGAAATAAATAAATAAATGAATGAATGAAAAAATAAATAAGTTAATAAATGAATTATGAAATGAATGAATAAATAATTAATCAAATAAGTAAATGAATAATTAATAAAATAAATAAATAAGTAATTAACTAGATAAATAAATAAATATACAATACATATATGATATTTGGCATTTGCTAAAAAAAAAAAATTATTGCTAATACACTAAAGAATTTTGGTAAAATTGCAATATTTACATATAAGAAAAATAAAAAACTTGAGCATTTAAAAATTTCTAGAAAAATCTATGCTAAAATTATAAGTAAATCAAATGAATGATAATTTAATTAAATGAATGACTAACAAAAAACATTTATTACAAAAAAACTAAATTAAAACATACCGCAAATTAAAATAAAAAAATATATTATCTAATATAGAATAGCACTTTTTTTTTTTTCATTTAATAAATCAATTTTTGATCTTTTCTTAATAATAAAATAATCATATCAGATTGATAGTAATTATGCAATATTTGTTAAATTTATCAATAATCGTTTTTTAGCTTGCAGTATTAAAAGATGAAGACGAAAATACATTGAAATGGAAGCATTGCACGAAATACATTTATGAAGCTGAACATATTTCAATGTAAATTGAAATTCAATTTAAAAAAAAAAAATTTTTGAAAAAATAAAAAGAAACAAAAAATATGCCTTTTTTTTTGTTTTTCTTGCTTTTCACTTTTAGTTTTTTTTAGTTCAAACCATTTCATTTGGTGTTTTTTTTTCTTTTTCTATAATTAGATTAGATAAGCAAATGGTTTCTAATTATCTTTTAGTTGTTTCCTTTTTTTTTAGGACAAAAAAAATTTCATAATGTTTATTTCAAAATTTTGTCAACTTTAATTAAATCATTTAGTTATAAGGTAAGAAATGATTTGAATTCGTTAATAAATTACTCATTTCAAATGTTTTCATATATGTTTTCAATTTCATATATCAATTTTAGGACGCGTAACTAAACAATAAATGAATAAGTACATGAATTTTTTAGTCATTATTTTCAGTAACTTCAAAATTTTTAGAAAACTTAAAGAAATAGCAGCAGAATGTGAGAAAGATATTGAATTACGAGTAGCAATGGATGATATCGTTACAAAGATAGATGTATGAAGTGTTAATTATTAAATCAAATATTATAGTTATAATGTTTTCAAAGATAAAAATATCGATTGATTCTTATAAATCAAGAACTCGATCGATAAATTTTTATGGTTTTCTTAATTAGTGCGATAATTTATATATATATATATATATATATATATATATATATATATAT